GATGTTGCAAATCCAGAAAGTTTACATAGTTTCACGGGAAACTGGAAAAACCCGAAAAACAAGATTAATTGAAATAAATCTAAATAGATAAAATATATCGGGCTAGAGAAATTGCTTGAGATGAAAATAATTGGAGTTGGGAGAATATTAGGGGGATGGTAGGTAACCTGTATGCTTGTCTTCGTCCAGCTCCTGTATGTGCATATGGTCCCTGTTTTTTCAGAGCAGGGTGGGACTGAAAAGAATGAATGATAAACATAATCTTTCTTGTTATCACAGAGTTTGCTGCTGCTGCACTCCCTGAGCACAAATGATGTGCTTACTGACCTGCTCTGACCATTGCTCTGAAACAGCATAGCTGTCTTTGTTTTTGTTGGCTCACCTAATAAAAACAGTACTAGTGAGAGTTGGATGTGAGTAAGAGCTTTGAAGGACCAAAGGGTTATATATGAACATGTGGCTTTGAATATGATGAGTTCAGATTATTAATACCCTCTAGCTGATCTTGAGAGCTTCACAACAGATCTTTAGAGCTGAAGCAAGACCCTTTGTGTTCAGCAACAGCAAAATCACAATGCCAAATGTGTATAGACTAAATAAAGCTAGACTGACTTCTTGTAGGTAAAGCAAGAAATTATAACAATGTAGAAGATTATTGTAATAAAAATAAGACATTATGAGCAAAAAATTAAATAGGAAAACTTTCACGTTCTGTTCCTTAGTTACTGCACCAAAACACCACCATCTTGTAGGTTAAATGTTTTCTGATTTGCAGAATTGTCCACAGTTTTACTAGGACCCTTGGTCTAAAAATGTTTGTACAGGTATTTTTAAACAGATGCTGCCACATACTTTATTTGCAAGATCATGGACTAGATGTGCTCCAAATCAGTGAATCACCAAAATTAAATGAAGTGTAGCACAAAGTTCTAAATAGATTGAAACATTTTACAAAATATATAAAATATATAAATACATATATATAAAATATATAAATACGTATATAAAATACAGCAGTGATTTTAATTATACTCTGTGTGTGTATACATATACATATACATATATATATATATATAAAAAATTATACAGAATATACGGTATATTGATGACAGGAAGAAATTATCTAAAGCTAAAGTTTAATCCAGAAAAATAAAATTATTTCAATGTCAAGGTACTGTAAATTACTCTGAAAGTTTCCTTAAAAACTCTAAAATACCAACCACTTTCCCATTTTATCAATAAAAACATATATAGTTTTATACTTATTAACAGGATTAAATGAGTCAGACTTATCTTGACAAGAAATGCTTTGTTGTCTAAAAACTTGCTTTTAATGTAATTGAAAATAGTGTTGCTCATATTTTAAAAAATCCTAATTGTGTAAAGCTGTCATGCTGAAAGAGGTGGGATGGAATTGCCAAGTGCAGATGCCCATGTAAGAGTGATGCTGAACAATAAACCGCATTCATATTTCTTTTCTATAGAAAGTGCATGGTGCTTTGGGTGAACTAATCCCTCAATATTGCCAGCTATGTACGATAAATCATGCTTAAGGATTATTATTTATGGGAATGCTATGAATTTTTTGTATCTACACTTGTAGCTTATTTTCATTTTAAAGACTTTAGACCATAACTTCGTACTTTTAATTTTGTATTCAGTATGGGGAATTAATCCCAGAATGGGGCTTTTTGGATGCAAAATCTGAATGCTTGTGTAGTAACAACAGCTGTCCCCTCACCATGTGGTGTCTTCCATTGCTTTACTGTAGAGATGAAATTTGGCCCAGTGTTTCAGTAATATTGGACACACATGGTTTTAGGTGACAAAGCAGTATGTTTATGCATTCATTTGACTCTTGCAGTTACAGTTGGCTACAGATTAGAACAGGGAGAATACATTCACACCATGACCACCCTCGTAGCTGCTTGTAGTACTTGGATCACAGTAGGCGCTGTTGCATCTAAAGACACAATTAACTGTTGCTGAGGAATTGCAAATTCACAAAAGCTCCTTTACAGCTTTTGCTGTTGAGAGCGGATTTTCTGGAAAAAAAAAAACCCAAAACTTTTTCAGAGATTTTCCAAATTTATAAATGTTTTAGATCTTCACATTTTAAATTTATTGTCAGCTTGAAATAAGATTAAGAAGTTGATAGTTTAATGTAGCTAATGAATTTGTGTGCCCTGAATTAGCTGTGTAATTACAGATTTGCAGAATGATTGTAGTTTTGTCCATTATTTAGGAAGATAAACTCAAGAGTTCTGTGATATTTACAAGTGGTTAGTAAAACTGAGCACAAATCAAAGCTTACAAAAAAGTCTGAAAATAAAACTTAGCAGAAAGCTTCCAACATCTGTATATAACTGAAAAGATCATCTTGATTTCCATGTGTAATTGCTTAGATATGCTTTGGATATGGTAAGAAAGACTGGCTGTGAATGTAACTGTGAATCTATTATAAATACCCCACAAACAAACAAATCACCAAGTTTTAGTACAAATTAAATAGAAAATTACAGTAAAGCACATATTAACCCTAATTTTGAGGTATGAAATTTGATTTTTAAACAAAAGGCTTTTAACCAGAACTCTTTAGAAGAATTCATTATTTAAGTTACAGTGATAAAAATTTTTATAAGTAGAACATTCAGCACTGGAAATCTTTCTTTACAAAAATCCCTGAGAAATATTTTAATTTAAAATATCTATATGGAGTATAATGTAATAAAAGTATATAATATATTAACATGTTTAAACCAGTAAAAGTAATAAGGCTGTTTTGCAATGTGGAGATTTTTCTATGTATGTAATTTCTTCTGTAGGCTAGGGTGTAATTGTATAATGCAAGCAATGTATGTGTGAGATCTCTCACATACACACACGTTACTTAAGCATCTTGTGTTTGAATCGTCAGAGATAATTCATTTTATTCTTGTATTAAAAACTATGAATGTTTGAGGCTTTCAGCATTGAATAAAGGACTACATGGATCCAAACCAGGACGATTGATAAAATCCTTGCTACTATTGGCTATTATTTACTGTCTTTTAAGTGGCAGGTTGTATTTATGCCAATTTATCTGCTTCAGGGAACACTCATGATAGCAGAACAAAGTGAATAAAAGTAGTTTGCTTTGCAAATGAATGCAAATGGTGAAGCCTTTCGGGAAGCCCTTTAACGGGAGCAATGCACTTTGATTATGAGTGAAGCTGCCATTTGGACATGGTGAAAAGAGCACGCTTGAACCATTGATTGGGGGAGACAGTAAAAAGTCAGGAAGGGCCCCGTTAAGCTTGCAGTGCAGCGGGCGGATGTCAGTGTGGTTAGAGCACAGTGGGAGAATGACAGGCAGGATTAGTGTCAGGGAGAAGCTTTGCTGTAGTTGTGGAGATGGTCCCTGGGGTCACTCACCTCTGACTGTTGTTCTGTGCTGATGGCTCTGTAATGCAAACCGCTTGATATGTGCCTGTTCATTATCGGAAATGGTGATTAGAAGAGGTATGTCATAAAGAATTCCTTAAAAATAAATAAAATGGCAAACTACTGATGCTAACAAAGATTTGGCTCTGCAGTCTTTGCCAAAGATGCTGCAAACGTCAGAGACCGTTACTGCATTTTGCCTTCTGAGGCAAACACGATTTCATGCCTTAAACTGCTCTAATTGTGTGTTCCTTGCTTTGTTCACTTTTATTTGGCCGTTATGAAGACAGTCATTGTTAACAGCTTGGCATGTAGTTGGAGTAAAACATTTTTATATCTTTTGGTTATTGAGTAGGGGAAGCATCCGGTCTGGTTTTGTGGCATAACTGCATTTTAGGGGGGGGATGGGGGAGGGCTGTTGTTTAATCATCTTGGTGGAATATTAAAGTCAAGAGATTTCATTCCTGGTTCATGCTAGAGTGCTAAAACACAGGATGGTAACAGTGATAAGAAGCTAAGATGACTGTTCTGTTTCATTTAGAGGCTTTTTTAATATGTCAAAATGGAGATATTATCTGTGTCTTTGCTGAAAAAAGATTAGATAGACAATTAAGTAAATGTTTAAAATGTTGTGTCTTAAACTGTTATCGTTGGCATCGTTTTGGTAGGGAAAGACCATTGAGATCATTGACTCTCACCATTAATCCGGCTCTATGAAGACCAAGTGTCACATCCACACATGGTCTTTTAAATACTTCCAGAGATGGCAATTCTACCATTTCCCTTGGCAGCCTGTTACAATGCTCAAAAGCCATTTTGGTGAAGAAACTTTTCCTAATATATAATCTACAGCTCCCTTGGCACAACTCGAGGCCATTTCCTCTTGTCCTAGCTCTTATTACCTGGGAAGGAGGCCTCGCCACAGTTTTCTATCTCAGGCAGTTGTAGAGAACACAAAGGTCTCCTCTGAGCCTCCTTTTCTCCAGGCTAAACATCCCCAGCTCCCTTAGCTGCTCCTCATCAGACTTGTGCTCCAGACCTCTCACTGGCTCATTTCCTTTCTCTGAGCATTCTCCAGCACCTCAATGTCCTTCTTGTAGTGAGGGGCCCAGAACTGAACCCAGAACTCAAGGTGTGGCCTCAGCAGTGCTGTAGAAACATTTTTTGTTGTCTTTTACACCAGTAGTCAGATTAAGTTCTTATTGGACTTGGGCCCACCTAATTTTTGCATAACCCCATAATCTAATAAAAGTATTGTTGAATATTATCTTTATTGCATTTTGTGGTGTTGTGTTATGTATGTTGTATTAAAGTTAATAGAAATTAATTGCCTTAGTCTACATAATAGACAAAGTGCAAATTTTGAGTGTTCAGGATTTTTAGTGTCTTGCTGTTGGTCTCTTGCTTTTATCCACTTTCAGCAACAAGACACGGAGAAGATACCCAGATTTCTTTTTTTTTATTATTTGCTCCATTTGGTTAAAGATTTTTTTTTTGTCCGTATATTGTCCGTATATTACCTTGCAAATAAATGTCCAATATTCCAGTGTAATGAATGTTTTACAAATGTTTTACAGGCACCTGAATGGACAGAGGAGGACCTGAGCCAGCTGACAAGAAGTATGGTTAAGTTCCCAGGGGGGACCCCCGGTCGATGGGAAAAGATTGCTCACGAATTGGGTCGATCAGTGGCAGATGTGAGTGCACTCAGATTTGCATTGTGCAGAGGATGACAAACCAGAACAAGACAGGCAGTGTAGAAGGCAGATATGGGGGCTGACATTGTCTTTTGAGAGAAGCTACAATCCTTTTAGGACCTGGAAGTGAACCATTAACTAACTATGCAAGAAGCAGATGTCAACCAGTATCTCCCTCCACAATTAACAGCTGTAACTGATCAGCTGGATGGGGGATTCTGGTGCTTACGAACTTCAGCTACTGTAACCCAGTAACAGAAAAAACAATGAACTGCAGGTTTTGTAGCAACCTCCTTTCACTGCAAGTGAATGTTTGTGTGACTTGGTTAAAGATTACATCTCTGTTTCAAGCCAGTCCTTAAAAAATGCATATGAGCTAATGGTGTTTTGACAGGTGGTTTCCATTAATTAAGCAGAAATATCTTCACAAATTTTAAAACCATGTAATGTGCATTATACTATTTCAGTGCCTTTTTTCAGTATTATAGTATACTTTCAAATAATATTTTTTAATTAACGTCTTTGTTAATTTATATTTTATAGCATATACCAGATACCAAAGCTTGTACTTACTTTTTTTAAGTGTTATGATCTTAAAAGCCTTAGGGGCTAGGCTGCAAAAGACTTCTCCTTTTCAACCAATAGATCACTAGAACATGTCATAGTGTCTACTGAGGACCATTTGAAAGCCCTTTCTGTTGACCTTATTTTATAGGCTCTGTAGGGGTTAATGAGAATAACATTTAAATCTGTTCATGTACATTTTGAGATTAGATGTTCTTTATTTATCATATTTCAGGAATTATCTTAAATAATGGAAAACAAAGCCACTGACTGCAGTGAAATGTAATAGCCCTCTGGGAGATTTGTGTACTTCTTAAATTTTTTTTTCATTGTTGATATAATCACAAAAATATATTTTGACAACTTTCTTCTAAAGTTTTCATGCACTTATACTGCTCTGATACATATACTAAAAAAATAAGTATTTTGCACTATTCTAATTTTAGAACAATACATTATTTGCAAAATAGTGTATGTAAACAAGAAGTTACCAACCTGCTAATCAAATGAAATTAGGGTTTTTAAGGTTTATTGTGTTCCTACTTGAAGTATTCATACTACTGAACTGACTAAACTGAATAATAGCAATACTAAACTTTAATAATAATAAACTTTATAATAATAATACTACTGAAATTTATTAAAAATATACTACATTTTACTGATCTTAACAGCAAAAATATTACACACATGTTGGTAGTATACAGTGCTCATGGCAAAGAGCTTTTGAGATTGGTTTGGAAAATTTGATTGTCTTGATATGGATAGTATGGACATGTGGAATGGTTCTACATCCATCCATCACAAAACTAGCACTACCCTCAGATTCCCTTTTGCACCCACTGCCTGCTTTATTCCTTGACTTGGGTGTATTAGGAACCCTTTGCATAATGTGTTTGGCCCAGTATTGTACTTGCACACATCCAGTACTGGAAGGAAAAAACCAAAGCTCACTTGTTTCTTCCATTAGATGAGAGGTCCTGAGCAACTTGCTGTTTTGTTTCAGTAGGTAGGAAAGAGAAATTAAAGACGTGATTGTTCTAAGAGCTGTAATTTTCTTGTATGAAAAAAGGAATTTCCAGGATTTTTGTGTGGAGAAAGGTCTGAATGTAATCCTTTTTACTTCTAGTAATCTCATGTAATTGTTCACCACACAAGTTTTTACTTCTCTAAAAATTTTCAACTACTGCTAGTGCTAGGTGACTTTCCTGACACAAACTAATTAGAGTTTCTGCTACTTTTATCATTGCATTACACAGCAATGATAAGAAGTGCAGCAATTTGGTGTTACAAGGAAACAGAAACAAGTATTTTACAAAATGAATGTTTTAAACAAAAGCTTCATGGGAACTTCTTTGGGTCTCAGATTATTACTGAAATGGTGAAACTGAAAACTACTTCAGATATATCCATTCAGTAAGATTTCAGTATTCAATAAGGTGTACAACTTATCCTGTGTATATTTCTTGAAGATAACATAGAATCTGAATTTACAGCAAGGACTCTTATTTTGTTTGGGCATCACCATAATTAAACAAGCAATGTTATGGTAAAGCTGCAGGAGAAGCTTCTGGGTTGTTAACTTTGTGTGCAGTAAAAAAGGTGTTTGCATGTGCAGGCAGCATTTGCTGCCCAAACAGCTGTTCCCTGTGTCTGCAGGGAGCAGGGCAAGGAGAGGAGTTCTGGTGTACAAGGTGCTGCTTTGAAACAGTTTGTGTAGCAAAGGTTGGGAGTGCCTTGCTTACAGCTGGTTTAACAGGAGTCAGGCCAGAGAAGGTTTGAAGTATGTATTATCTAGCAAATGTACTATCTCTTGAAAAAGAAAAACATTCAAGGACGAATTTGAATTTGGTTTTCCAACATTTTCTAGTAAAGGAAATACTTTGTAAGAACTTGAGATTAGTGTCTGCTTCTTTCTTCTCCTGCAAAGCATCAAGAGCAGTAAGGCTTGGTTTTCCTTTCACAGTTAGAGAATCATGATAGAAAGGATTGATAAGGTACAATGTGCTTGCTTCTGAGTGATTTTATACATTCACACCTTATTTAATAGTAGATAGCTAAATAGGTATTCATAAAAATAGCTCACAGTAATCCAGTCCAAAATGCTGTCTCCATTGTTGCTTCTGTCTCCAAGCTTTCTCTCTCAGAAAAAAAAAAAAGTTAGAAAAAATCTCAAAACTTTTTAAAGAATAAACTGAATCCATTCATATATATCAGAAGAGTATCAGTGAAATTCACTCCCTCTAATCATCCCAAAGAAATTGTATCTTAAATTTCTTCTTTTTTTTTTAAAGAAATAAATTTCTACTACATCCAGCTGTGCTTCCACTTGAAATTTTTAGGCAGTGTGAAGCAGTGACTTGAGGAGAGTGTTCTTGGCTTTTTTTAACTTTGCAGCTTCATAGTGTTGTTTTAACTTACTGCATCCTTCGTTTGTGTCTAGTGTTGAGTATTGCACTTAAACATGTGGTTTGATAGAAAGAGTCCAGGTGGGAATAATCAGTTCCTAAAATGTTATCTACAAGGAAAGATTGTGAAAGAATTAATGTTGTTGAACTAAAAAAAAAATTTAAAAATTAACTGAGAATGTAAGTATTCAACTACATAAAAAGAAAACCATAATGTCCATTGTATTGGTCTTACAGGGCAAGAAGTTTTTGCCTCAAATTTAATCAGAGGCTGCAGAGTTAGACACTGAAGGACAAAGAATTACAATGGAGATGATAAAGCAGTGGAATAAGCTGCTGTGGAGTCTCTCTATTTGTGGGCCTTTAAGAACAGGTTACACAAACATCTGCAAGAAACTTCAATACAATGGTTCTGCCTGAGGTTAGGTCCTTCTCTTCATATGGTCTGTGATTACACTAGCAAGTGCAAGCTATCTGGGAGGAAAAGGGGAAGGAAAAACCCTTCCCTACAATTGGAAGCATGTGTGAATTCACTTTTAAAAATGTAGAATTAAAGCCAGATAGTCACCATAGTTGGTCAGTAATCAATGTACATACCTCAGCTTGACTTCCTAAATGCAGTAATTCCTAACAGTGTTCCTTCAGTGTTTTTCTTGTCTAGTACTAGTTGAGTTGGTGTTTCATAGACATTTAGTTTGTTAATTGTTATTTCCCAAGCACAGCCCAAATAATACCCATTATGTGGGTATGTCTACCAGATTACCTGTCCAAACAAGTACCTCCACCTGGTGTGATGCAGGCTGCTGGGAAAGTGGCAGCCAAACTCCAGCAATAAACAGCTACAGCCATGCTGTGGTGCCCCTGAGCTCACTCAGCTCTACTGTTTCTGTTTATGCTGCCTCATATGATACCAGCATAAATATCTTTGCAGCATATTCCTGTGCTTTTCACCTCGGAGCAAGGGTAGTGTGGTACAGACATGCTGGAGGAAGGGTTTCTGCTTTAACTTCTGGCATGGTAAATGTTTGTCTTGTCTCTCTTTGGGAAGACATCTTTTAACAGCCAATGAGTGATCGACCCAAAATAGATGAGGTTAAGTTGTGCTCACTTTATCAGTATGTTTAATTATTTAAATTATTTAAATTGCTAATTGTCACTTCAGTATGTGCATATAGGGAATTTAGCAATCTTTTCCTATAAAGATGGTTTTCAGCTGGCTTAGTATAATGAAATCTTATTGCTTTCACAACGGAAAGCTTCTGCAGCTTTTTAAGTCATTTTTATTGCAATTGGCTGTTATTGTAAATTAGGTTTTCAAGTATTTTGATTATGAAAGGGAAATGGAGTTCAGTTAACTCTAATCAGGATTCCTGCCTGCTGACCTGGTTACCTGTACCACTGCTCTCTGTCATCCTCCAAACATCTGTTCTTTGACCCATTTTCCGTGCTGAATTTGTTGCTCCAGGGTTAGTTCTCATTCCTGTCTGCCAATACTTAAGGAAATAATTGACCTTTTAAAACAAAATAAAAAAGTTATGTTTGAATTTCCTAAGCACTGTGAACAGTCTACAACATAGTATAAATAATGAATGGAGTTGCAATACTATTATTTCTGCAAAAAATGATATTGTTGGATTTGACAAATACTAAGCCTTATGAAGATTTATAGTAATGATTGTCAGCTTTTGCTGAATTCAAAAATTGAGGAAAAGCACTTAGATGTGAAATTATAGAAGTATATTGTGCTTGACAATACCAACCTTTATAGATAAAAAGTTTTAAAAAAATATTTGCTGAAAGGCATAAATTAATTTCAGTAACTACAAAGGACATTCAAATTGTAAAAATAATAGAGGAAGTAAAAACTGTCTGGCATGCCAAACAGACTTTAATGTGATTATTAGGTACAGGTTTTTTAAATTAAAGGCAAAGAGATCTCAGATTTCATACTTGTGAAGTAATATCATTCACTTGTCTTACAGGATTTAAACTGATTCTGTTTGCTCCTGCAGTCACTAATCTCATGCA